GAGAACCACAATTAAAATTCGAATTCACATCCAATTGTTTCCACAAAAATCTTGACCGCTTATTTGGTCACAAGAAGCCTATGCCCGTAATCTCCATGAAAGACTTTTTAATCTCCTTCTTAGACTAAAATTTTGAAAAAAATGAGAGGAAGAGATGGAGGCAGAGAGAGGAGCAATGGTTTCGGAGCTAAGGGAAGAAGGACAGCATGGAACTAGGAAAGAGTCTATCATAGGAGAGGGATCCGACAAGAGCAAGAACTCGAGGCGGAAGCAACTCATAGGAACAGACGGAGGAACCAAGACATTTGGGGCTACGATCGACGTATATACAACCAAGCCACTGTGTTCTTCTTCACAAACTTTCCTGACGAATGGAGCTATGAAAACATGTGGCAAACTTTTCGAAGATTTGGAAGAGTTTTGGCCATTTATAGCCCACCGAGGAGAACAAAGAGGGGGAGCAGGTTTGGATTCGTCAGATTCCTTGAGGTTAAAGATGAACGAGAACTGGAGCACCAATTGGACCAGATCCGAATAAGAGACTTCAAACTTTGGGTCAATAGACCAAAGTTTATGGAAAGGGAAAGCCAAAGAGATTTCGGACCATGGGCTCTGCAAAAAAGAAGGTGTAAGAGGGCAAAGGACCTATGCCGATGTTGTAAAGGGAAGCAGCAAAGAAGAGCCAAATCGGATGAATAAATCAAAAGCAACCAGAGATCCAATTCTCTGGCAACAAAAGAGAGGCAACGGGAAAAAAACCTCGTCTCAAGCCTGGATACCGAAGGTCAAAGAGCAGGTGAAGCACACTTTAGAGTTCAAGGTGAAGGAGGAAGACTTATCTTGGCTGGAATGATGCTACGTTGGGGTAGCTCGCTCAGTAGAGATAATCCCGACACTACAGGAAAAGTTCTTCATGGAAGGCTATTTCTCTTGCAAAGTAAGAGCAATGGGAGGAAGGCTAGTGTTATTGGAGGGAGGAGACAAATAAGAGATTAAGGATCTGGTTGAACAGGCATCTCAATGGCTAGGACAGTGGTTTTCGGAGGTTAAACCTTGGAAATCATCAATAGTTTCCAGAGAAAGATTTGTCTGGTTATGATGCCAAGGGGTTCCAGCCCATGCGTGGAGACTAGATTTCTTCGCCTCAATTGGCGCAGTATGGGGTAAATTCATCACTTTGGATGACAGCACCAGTTTGAAGAAGAGATTGGATATTGGACGACTTCTTATCTCCACTATAGCAATGGAGTTCATTTCGAAGGTCATGAATGTCAAGGTTAATGGGGAGCCTTTCACTATCAAAGTTATGGAAGAAGAGGCCACAAATGGCATTTTTTCAATGAAGTCCGATCATTTGTTTAACATGATGAGTGACTCTGATAATGATGCTTCGGAATCATGGTCTGTGGATAGCGAATTTGATAATGAAATAATGGAGTCCGTCCAAGAAGGCGGTGGGGCTAAGGGGTTTCGGAGATTGCTGGATGGAAAGATGGAAGATGATGACGTGGAAGAGGATGACATAGAGACAGACACGGAATCAAGAGGTGAGTTGGCTCATACCCGTTGGAAGAAAGAGCGGCAAACTGGAAAAGAAGATCAGTTTTCGGTTGTGAATGACGTCTCAATTAATGCTAAAGGTTACCAAGAAGATTTTGCAGATAGCGGGGAAAAGAGAAATCATTTTCAAAACCCCGGAAATCTTGATATGACGCCAGCAGATTGGGTAACAGTGCCTGAAACACAACCAATCGGTCAAAAGAAACAACATCGGAGGGATGAGGATGTTGGGCCTTACAAGCATGCAAACCCAATAGTTCAAGATGGACGCGGGACCAAAATAGTCTCAGAATTAGCCCAATAGGAAGTTAATGGGCCGGTAGACGGTGGGCCAAATTCAGTGGATGTTTGTCACTCGCGGGAGGATGGGGGGGCTAATCCAATAAACACTAATTGTGCTTATGTGGAAGCAACATCTCAGAAGGACCAAGAGAAGGAGAATAGTAGCACCGGCTCGAGACTTCCCCAGATGGCGCAGAAGGAGCCTAGCTTTTGGGAAGGCTTCATGACAGAATCAGGAACTGAAAAGGAGTGGATGGGGCGAAATCTCAAGAGGCTAAGCAAGTTGAGGAAGAAGAAAAGCAGATCCTGTGTGTCGGTATACAGACAAGGAAGAAAGGAAGAGCGGCGAATCAAACCAGAAAAAGGTGCAAAAAGATCAAAAGAGCAAGAAGCCGAGGTGGGGAGACCAAAATTCCATCCG